TCGCTTTCCTGCGTGATCACCTTCGCTGCCTTCACGTCAAGTTCACTGATGTTGCTGAGATCCCGACATGGGTGTACTTGCTGAGGAGTTTGAGGGAGGTTGATTTTGATCTACGGCATGGCTTGCTTGTACTCACTCTTCTGGGTGTTTCGACGACCGCTCAAAGAGTACTCGTTTGAGAAGGTGAGGGAAGAGAGCAGCTTCAGACATTCCTGATGTCAAAAACGACTTTGCATTCCTCTTACACATGGTTGACCAGTACGACGAGCTCTACTCCAAGCGCTTTGGTGTCTTCTTGTCTGAGGTCAGTGAAAACAAGCTGAGGGAGATCAGCCTCAATCACGAGTGGACCTTTGAAAAGCTGAGGCAGCTGGTGACCCGGAACGCACAGGACCAACAGGAGCTGCACCTTTTCATGCTCTCTGGTCTCCGAACGCTGTGTTCGACCTCACAGACCTGGACGTGCTGAAACTGGAGCTTATTCCAGAGGTGAGGTTCACAGCAAAAGTCTCCCAGATGACCAGCCTGCAGGAGCTGCATCTCTGCCACTGCCCGGCTAAAGTGGAGCAGACAGGTTTCGCTTTCCTGCGTGATCACCTTCGCTGCCTTCACGTCAAGTTCACTGATGTTGCTGAGATCCCGACATGGGTGTACTTGCTGAGGAGTTTGAGGGAGCTGAACCTGATTGGCAACTTAAGCTCAGAAAACAACAAAATGATCGGTCTGGAGTCCATGCGCGATTTGAGGCATTTAAAGACATTGTGTTTGAAGAGCAACCTCACCAAGATGCCCACAAACATCACAGAGCTTTCCCCACATCTGATCAAGTTGGTGGTGCACAATGATGGTACGAAACTGCTGGTACTGAACAGTCTGAAAAAAATGACGAGTCTCATTGAAGTGGAGCTTCACACCTGTGAACTGGAGAGGATTCCCCATGCCATTTTCAGCCTCACCAACCTGCAGGAACTGACCTGAAATCCAACAACATCCGAACCATCGAGGAGATCATCAGCTTCCAGCACCTCAAGAGACTTACATGCCTGAAGCTTTGGCACAATAAGATTATCACCATCCCGTCATCCATCGGACAAATCAAGTCTCTGGAGGCCCTACACCTATCTCACAATAAACTTGAGTCCCTGCCTCCAGCATTGTTCACGCTGCCCAAACTGCGGCATTTAGACGTGGGCCACAACTCCATTACGATCCTCCCTCCTGATGTGGGTCTTCTCAACAACCTGCAGCACCTAGCCATCAACTCCAACAAGCTGGAGGTGCTGCCCAAGCCTCTGTTTAGATGTAACAAGCTAAAGGTGCTGTGCCTGGGTAACAATGCGCTCACCGTGCTGCCAGAGTCAGTGGGTCAGCTGGTGCAGCTCACTCAGCTGGAGCTCCGAGGGAACTGTCTGGACAGACTGCCCGCCCAGCTTGGAAACTGCCGAATGTTGCGCAAGAGCGGCCTGGTTGTGGAGGACCATCTCTTTGACGCACTGCCTGTGGAAGTCAAGGAGAGTATCAGCAAGAGACCAACGCTTTTTCCAGTGGCTTATAGCACAAAAACCACGACCCAGACAGGCTGGCACCTCTTGTGGTTCATGACAAGTCTGTGTAGACTTTTTTTTATTTGTAATATCTATTAATGAATGCATTTTAGAGTTTTAAAGCTAGTATCAGCCTTTGATACTGTCTTAATTACAGTATCAGGTATCGACAATACGCCAGTAAATGCACTGATCTGATACAAAAACCAATTAGCCTCCTAAAAATCTGCAGTTTCAAATTAACCCAATCGTGACAATAATAAATTACAACATTGTGTTTCTAGCAGAGAGTTTGCTCTTAGTCAGAGCTAGCAAAATGTCAACATTAAATGTTTTCCAAAATATTATGTATATTTTTTTTTAATCAGACTAGTATCAGAAGGGATGCTCAGTATTTGCCAATACTCAAGTCCCAGTATTGTTATCAGGAAGGAGACATTTTTCAGAACATCTGTTATTTCTTAGTTATTGGAATGGATCATCATAGTTGCTTATGTGTAAAACTGGTACAGAATGCTTTTCTTCTTGCTGAGTTTCTGATTCAGTGAACTTTTGGGATTTTTTTTTTCCATTGCTTTTAGTAAACAAAAAAACATTAGAAATTTAGCAGTAAATATCTATTGACCAAATTTGTTTCCTCTAATGACACAGTATGTAGATTACTCATTGTACTCAGGTATAACTGTAACCATGGGGAACAATCTTTTGCCTTAACTGCTGCTATTGTTTTGTTTTACAGTGAGGGCTTTCACATGCAAAAGGCCAAAAATTATGATTTTCTGTTTCCATGTCAGTTTTCCATGCCGACACTATCCATGCAGAAATGTGTTAGAACAGACGTTAACATGCAACCACTTCCTTCTCTGTTGTTTTAAACTTTTCTTGTAACGATGTAACCTTTTTATTTTTCTCAACAACTTGTAGCTGACAGAATGAGTTCAGAGTTGTAAAGCTCAGGTTGAGACTAAGCACTAGAAATGAACTTTATCTTCTTGTTGTAGAGATTGTATTCTAAGGCCTATAGTAATTCCTTTGCACATGCACAAATATAATGATTTGAAGATCGCTGAATGTCCTTTGTGATAACACATCCCAGTAACAACATGAGCTGATAAAAGAAAGGGAAATCTGTTGATTGTCTTTTTTTTTTTTAATCACACTTAAAAACCGAAAAAGACAAAATGTGTAATGACGACAAAAGTGTCTGCCTTCGTTCTTTTCAGTGTATTTCTGTGTAGGCCTCTTTACAGTGAGTGTTCCCAAGAGCTGCTGTAACACCTTGGTTATCCTATGCTCAAAGTCCACTGCTTTATAGCACAATAAATCAAGATTTTAGATGAATGTCTTATCATTATCCCCCTTCTTCAGGTGCACTTCACTTCACTCCAGTCATTTCTCTTAATGAACACATAAATATCTCTTTCATTAATAGTTATCAGTTTTATCAAAGTGAACTTAAATTTCCTGTGAGGAGCTTTTATCTGGTAATCAGACAGACTGAATATAACATTGTTGTCTCTTCATGAGCTACAAAAGCAAAGAGACCATTAGTGACCAGATGGATTATGAATATATTATTATTATTTTGAATGCATGTGTCTGCTGCTGCAGTTGGACATCATGGTATTTTTGCCACACTGCTTTTGAGAAACGTGTATATTTTCTGGTACATTAAATACTGTAGTGCAGAAGTATAAGTAATAAAAAAAATACCAACCAACCTTTCATAGCAGTAATGATTACAGTGATGCAAATAATGACCTTAGTTACAACACGTGCTTTACTACATGCTGCATGTTCTCCACATCAAGAAGCCTTTTCCATAAGTTCCTTAGTTTTCCAACAAAGCAAAGAGATTTTGCTCTTGTCCCCTTATGGCCTCCTTATAAAGACTTTTAAACCAAGTTTTTCTTCATTGCCGTGAAGATAAATACTTTAAATAGAGTCAGATAGTGAAAGAGGTTAAAGTGACTGTGAGTAGACTCATGGGAACCAGGATGATCATAACCTACTAATTCTACAATGAAACATTAAACAAGTTATACAACCTAAAAAAAAAACCTGTCCACATAATGATTTTCAGCTCAATGATTGTTAAGAAGCTGTACCCTTTGTCCTCACTTTCCTTCTCATTTATGTCTTAACTCCTATAATCCATAATCTCTGTCACCAGATGACTAATGTTAATATGATAAAGATAAATGTTCTTGTGCTCATACATCCATATAATCCTATAGACGATCATTTCACCTCAATTAAAATTCCTTTCACAGTACAGGGATCGGGGGCTTTGTCTAACCTCCGTAAACCACGAACAATGTTTATGTGAGGACGTCCTGTTGATTTGTGAACAGTACCTTCACTGTTTCTGTGTGGATCTTTACTGTGTCATAGAGGTCATGTGTGTTATGCATGTAGCTTTTGTTTGGAGGTCAAATTGAAGGCCTTGCGGTGCTATTCTGAGTAACCAGACTTGTCTGAGAATGTACATCATGATTTACCTGCTCTTGAGTTTAAAGGAGAAAGTTCAAACTGGTGCTCATTAGTCATGGTCCACTGTAGAACCTTATTTTAACCAACCATGAGAGATACATTTATGTTTACAAGTTTCCAAAGTAGTGCAACTTACAGCAGAACCAGGATTAATGTACATTCTTTGTTATATGTTGCCTGATCAACCTATCACAAATTAGCCTGGAGCTTCTTACTTATTGGTTAAACTATATAGATACATTTTGTGCTACGCAAATGCTATCAATTATGATACAGATACCCCAAGTCAGATAATGATGAAGGACCAATTTAAGGCCCTGACCATTTCATATCATGTTAATTCTACTTTATAGGTGTAAATATTTGCAATTAAAAGACTTAACAAAATATAACGACGAGTAGACAGCCAAATGAAGTGAACATGAGTGCAGGGATAATTTGTAAATCTAACATGTGCAGAACAGATTACAGTAAAGGAGAGACAGATATTATCATGATGACAGTTCTCAAAAAGCTGCCTCTGTCTTTTAGAGGAACATTGTGTCAAAAAAAGAAAATATATATATACTCTTAAGTTCTTCATCACTAAAGTCTTATCTTACACATAAAACAACATAAAAAGAAAATAATACTCAAAGGAAAAGTAATTGATGGTGGAAAACAGAAACTCCCTCTGGCAGGTTAAACTGATTATTTTTGCACTTATTGTATTTCTATTCATTATTTGCTGTGAAACCTGCATCAAGTACTCAAAAAAACTCAAAGAAAACAATTAAGCACCCCAATCACTTACTTTTAAAGTTACAGGTCCAGAGTTGGGATCCTGTGTTCATGACGTTTCTAAAAGGTGAAGGTGTCATGTGTTGGGACCGGTTGGGACAGGCTCATTGAAGCACAGAGGCAGGTCCATCATGTGTACAACATGCTGCCACCTGTCGGCAGCTTTCACTTTTAGAAATCTACACTGTTATGTGGGTGAACAAGCTGAGCTCCTCGTACTTCTCACACATACCAAACCCGATGCCAACCTTTCTGCATCGATAAAAACAACAAAAATAATGAACCCTCCGAATAACAATGTCCCCTTCCAACCTGAATCTACAATATCAGAAAATAAAAGGACAAAGCCTCAGTTGGACAGGTAACTTTCTCTATTTTTTTTTTACGTCGGCATTTTCTCCGTAATATTCAAAGCTATGACGATGTGTGGGTGTATTATTTGGAGGTTGCATGTCATAAACACTTAACACTTTAAACAATATTAGCAGGGAAGTGTCCTGTTGTTAGCCATGCAGCTCAAACAGAACATTATCTATTGCTAATCTAGTTTTCCTGGCTTAGCCCATGTTTGTCAGTCATTTATCACCTTACTGATAACTCTCATGTTGACAAGCTGTTGTTGTCGTGTTTACTTGCATTAAAGCGTTGTCCTCACGTGTGTGAATTAAGAATACCTTTTGGCTACAATGAAGCTATGAATTTCATCTCGAGGAAACTAGAAGGCTACTCAGAGTCGACTTCCGGTTCTGTCTCTAAGCCGAGAAAGCTGAGAGGTAACTTCTGTTTAAACTAATTTAGAAACACAACAACAAGATTTAGGCCATGACACTAAATTATATCAATATTAATGTAAATATTTGACCATATTATTAAAATATGGCACAACTCAGTTATAATCAAATTCAATACAGCTGTCTGTGATCCAAACAAGACAATATCATAACACACTTATATTTTAATCAACCACAAATAACACTGAAAATATTATTCTTTACAATTGTATACAGTATAACTGAATAGTTTTCAAACGTGGAAAACAAAAAAAGTCTTTTGTCATTTAAAAAGTTAGATTTTACTTTAAAGTTTTATATCAGTATGCTGATTGATATTGATACAGAGACCGTACAATCTCTCAATAACTAGGAAAGCTTTCTAAATACCCGTTCAGAATTATAACAGGATGTTTTCCTCTTATTTATCTGTATACGTTTAATTTATTCATCAACAAAACAACACAGTAAAATACAAACATCAAATATTTAATGAAGAGGAGCAGAAAGAATAACAATCTCCTAATCTCCCCATTTTGAAACATAATCAAAAATGTTTCAAATAAAATAGCTGCAGGCAAACACAGCCATGCACATCCCACGATAGTTCCCAAGCTCATTTTTATACCATTCAAAGAGGATACACAAACGGAAGAAAAACTTAATGAACACATGTCAGTATACATACAGTAACTAATCAAGTCAACAGAAGTTAACAATTTAATCGTTACTTAGTTGTAATTCAGGAGGACTATGTTCCTGAGTGCATCTAATCTCTCTAAACCTAATGAAGCAATATCACATGAGAGGAAGTGAAGTTGTGCTGAATATCACAACTGCTTTGTTTGGTTGTAGGCATGATGCCTGACTATTGTAATACTAACTGACTGTATTCAGTACACTTGGCTGAGGCGGAGTGACACATGTTGTAAAAAGTCCCAGTGATGTTGTGCTTGGTTGTAACTAACTGTTGTTTAATAGTCTTTTTGTTGTTTACCTTTTGTGTAATACAGGACCTATTGAGTTCAGATGGAAGTCTTCATTCAAACCATTAGATAAAGCAGAAGAAGGAGAAGGCCCCTCTGAGGAAAAACACACAAGTAGTCCAAAGAAGTAAGCAACTCTGTGATGTTAACATGCCTCATTTGAATCTTAATCTTTGTCTCTTGGTAATTAAAACCATCATTCCATATTAGTCCAGATTGTCAGGGGAAGTGTGAGTGTCAGGATGCAAGCTTTTTCTCTCTGAGGACTTACTAGTTACACTTTTGGACTTACTAGTTTGCTTGCAGATTTGGGCAGGGCAAGTTTATTGATAAAGCACCATTCAGTAACAGAGCAGTTCAAAGTGCTTTACTAAACATTAACGGAACACAACAAACAGAACATAAGCAACATTAAGAACATACACAAAAGAAATACTGTTAATCTGTTAATAAGGAATTTAATTTGTGTAAAAGCACCAGTATGTATACAGTAAGCAAACATGAACAGAGCACACACACACACACACACACACACACAACCTTTGTAGTGCAGTCAACAGAGGTCAGTAAAGCTTGTTAGATATAATACATAATGCATAACTAATAAGAAACAAATTATTTAAAAAAAAGGTGTTACGGTACAAAATATATAAAAAATAAGATTAAGAAAGAAAGAAATATGACATTAAGAAGATATTGAAATTAAAACATCCTCAATGTAAGTGATTACTGATCGGTAGAGTATCTATGAAGTGGTTAATCGCATTGCATCCTTACAGGCGATAAACTAAAAGTACATTACGGTCACAAACAAACTAATTCCTTCTCTGTCCCTCAGGGATGAGCTCTATAATCCTTACGAGCCTGCTTCATCAGACTCCGAAAATGAGATGCCACAGGGCCAAGATCACACAGACTCCGAAACAGTTCAGGATTTGGGAAGTCAGAGTTTGTCTCCAGAAAGAGGCAGCGGTGAAAAAAGCCGCTGGGACTCGTGCGTCCTGAGGCCAGGGAGCCATCCCCTCAGCAGGCTTGACTTTGGCTCTGTAACAATACCGAGCCTTAGTCCAGTTCATAGACCTCCTGATCAGCTGGCTTATAGTCCAGACACTGAATCGGTTGACCCAGCAGGCTGTGAGTCCATCAACAGACCACTTGACCACCGAGTCTGCAGCCCTGACAGGCTTATTCCTGCCTCCTCCACCCAACTGTTTCCTGCTTATGGAGCACAGAGTACCAACGGGGAGGAGAGGATAACGATCCCAGAGTACAGGAGAGAGGTATCACCAGTAAGACAGGTAGATGTGAAAAGACAGTTAGACAAGGCTCTGTTTGTTGTTTTTGTATATATTTAATGAAACTGTCATTTTAGCTTGCTAATGCATTAATGACACTGTCATTGCTCGTTTGTATTCTCTCCTCTTTAGATGACCACTGTTAGATTATCACCTCCCAGGTTAAAGCAGGACTATCAGCAACAGTTGGGATATGTTGAAACAGGTAAGTTGACAATTTGCTAAAAAAAAAAAAAAGTATGCCGGCTGTTTTGTTTCATCATTGTTAATCATTTGTTTTAAAATATGTGATTGTATGGAGAAGAGGTGATGATTTTCAGTAATGGCGTTTTCACACATGCACCAAACTCCTGAAAATGTCCTGAAACATTCAGGATGAGCTGCATGTGTGAATGGCCATTTTTTTCACGCTGACTTTACCCAGATAGTTTCTGCCTGACATCGTCATTTCCAATTGAAGTAAAGGTAAGCTGATGTGTCAATGCAGCATTAAATAATCAGTAAAATTCACAGTGACATTTATGACATTTACACACACAGCCGGTGCTCGACCAATGGGATCATCGCGCAATTAATCAAGTAGTGTCGCACACTTTTCTGATTGCCAGTATGCTTTTTCACTCATTTGTTGATCCTGTGACTACGTCCAATTACATTTATGCAACATATGGATTTCCACAGCTATTTGGAAACCTAAGAATCTACAGTGTTTTGCCTTGTTTAAATATATTCACTCTTGGACCTTATATGAAAAATAATTCTGTCTTTGTTATATTGTTCAACAGAACTGGACCAAATCCCACCTCCCAACAAGGTGCCAAGACTAGAGAGCAAAAGAACAATAATGGACAAGTAAGAACCAAAGCTTCATCCATCCATCATTTGATGCTGTAGTAAACAGGCCACAGAGAGAAAATGTGTTTAACCTCTCTGTTTGTCAAAGATTATATTCATATTAATGCAACATATTATATTTAATACCATCCTCTATACAGGTCTGCTAGCTCCTTGTTAGCCACTGCTAGTTGATATGCTAATGCTACCACACTAGGGTTACACACTTTGGGTCAGTCCTGTAGTTTTTGGCTTTGTTAACTAAAAGTTGCGTGAAAACAGGTTTCAAAAGAAATTATTGCTTGAAGCATTGTGGGCCTGACTTTGGGGAATAGGAGATGTCTTCATTACAATTTTCACCTAATTTTTAAACTTTACTATAATGTCTGAATGCGCTGCTGATTGTCTTCTTTTTGTTTTAGGAACCCCATTATCTGTGACCTTTGTGAGGTTGAGTTAGCGAATGGTCAGGAGTTGGAGGATCACTTAGAGAGTAAGAGTCACTGGGACACGCTGGAGCACATTCAGCAACACAATAATTATGATGATATCGTCATAGCCTTCCTACAGGTAAGATAATTCACATCCAAACATCCTGTACCTTCATACAGTTCCTTGTAATCCCAGGCCTGTTCTTTAATGAACTTCTGATGGACTTCTTCCCAACATGTTCCCTTTTCAGAACTAATAAGAAAAGATAAAATGTATATTATAGAACTACCGACCCACAAAATGTGACATAAATCCATCCAGTCCTTTGTTTGTAGTCTGCATAAGTCTTACAACACAGAAAAATGCTCCGTTTCAAATTTGCTCAACTTGTGATGTCACAAGTTCGATTCTGGTAAAAAAAAATCCCCTCCCCTCTGCTGATATCTCCACCCATGGACGCCATCCCCAGAATAGAACAAAACTTTTGCGCTGGTCTGTCATTTTTATTCTCACTACAGAGGAGTGATGTCTACCGGAAAACTCAGGGGGGGTCATTGCATTTAAAGAGACACACACACCAAAATGGAGCGTTCTGAGAGAGCTGGTTTATACAGGGTCACAAACCTCCTCTGGTGCTTGATTCATGTTATATTTTGACCAAAGCACAGCACAGATGTTTCATTTAGACCACAGGGGACTGTTTGAAAATGTAGAAAAGAGGTATAATATGTCCTCTTTAAAACAATAGAGGGATTGGGGTTAAATGCAAAGACACTGAGCCCAATAAATTAACAATAGAATCCATGATGGAATTAAAACAGAAGTGATCATATCATAGAAACATTAACAAATGTTTGGGCATTTATGTGTCTGGATTGTGACGTACTGGTTTTCTTTCCATAGGACGTCATGCTGTTTAAAAGCCGTCAGTGTAGTCGAGCGATAGAGGATTGTGCACTTCAAGGTAAATAACTTATACTAACAAAACCTCTGATAAAACATCCACTGTGATATTAGAGTCTCTTCTGTTCCAGTCTTTGAAAGATGTCATTTGGTCTGATCTTTTCGTTCTGTCAGCTCTGCAGGAAAATGACCACATGACAAAAATCGAACTCTTCCACTGTGCAGCTTGCAAAGCCTTCGTCTCCACATCGGCATCCTCAGTCCAGGCCCACATAACCTCCCAGGAACACCTCAGTAACACACAGGTGACAATGCAGGATACAACACTTAGCTTTACATTTTGTTCTCTGAAACTCTCATTTCTTTTTTGTATAATAATTCAACCATGATCAGGCAAGGAATGAGCTAAAGGGATCTAATGTTAACAGATGTATTGATGGATTTCTTGAAGGAGTTTGAAGCGCGACAGAGTCATACATGCCTGAACAAAGCAGAAACCATGATGAAGGAGCTGAAACCTCAGTTTGAACACTTCCTGCAGGTATTTCAAGAGTAAATATTTCAAAACAGGTTCTTGGAAAAAGATTTTAAGAATTAAAGAAGAGCCAAAAGGATCCGCCCCGATCAATACTCTCATTCATTACTGTGTACTCAGTGTATTTGTTCCGTTCCCTGCTTTGCAGCATTTCACAAATAACATCAACGATTCCCTACAGTTACCAGCTGTCTGACCTTTACTCTATTTGTATACATTGTTACTGAACTTTTGCTGCTTAAGAACAACCCAGTCTAATGTAGTTTTTTTGGAAAAAGATAAATGGCTACACTATTAAAAGCTATATACAATCTAAAGTGTTCCTTGCAAAATAATTTTGTTTAATCATAATTTAGTATTATTTGAACACAAATTATTAATTTATCATTTGGCTCCGTGTACTTAAATAAAAGTCTACCAAACGGAGGGTTTGGGATCTGAAGCCTGTGATATGTGACATGCTTTAACAGAGATGGTTTTGTGAGGTCAGTGGAGGGTAACAAACAGATAGACTCTTAATTTGTCTCAACTTAAAATTGAATATAACATGAGGGGAATTTAACTATAACAGCATGAAGGTAACATTTTTTGGGAACAGATAGATTTAATAAAACATTTTTTTCCTTTTTTATTGGATTGAATACAAAGAACAAACCAACATTTTTAACATCTACTTAAAATCCAGCAAAGTGAAACATCTGGTATATTTTTACCTGAAGTATTACGTTTGTTTTCAGCCATTCAGACTACATTCAGATTGGCTGGAGCCGATCCAAGCTGACATGAGGGGAGACGGGTAATCTTACAAATACAGATTCTCAGTCAACCACAGCGTCAGCACAGAGAGAGACAACAGTTCACTCTCACGTTTACACTTTTCTTGACTTTAGAATTGCCCGTTAAAAAAAAAGGGTTGCTTCTGCTCAAGTAACCTGATTGGACAGGTGATGTGTCAATCAGTACTCCCTGAGTACTGATGTAAAGTACAACAGCATGGGGACTTTAAACGATATGCATTACTGTCTCAGGAGTTTAATACTAGTTCATATTATTACAGAGGGTCTCAGTAAGATTGAACACGTTGCTACCCTGAGAATCACACAGGCTACCTAAACAGCCACCAACAGACAGTTATTGTGATCGTTGAATTATAAATGGAAACAGATAAATGTAAAAGGATTCAAAGTTTCTGGTCTGCTGTACATACACAGTAGAGAGAGAGAGAACAGGTTTGTGTTGTTCAACTAGTTGTTGGTGGAGCAAGATTATTAAAGAGCTGGTGCTAGTTAAATTAATATTTGCATAACATTCTAACATTCAGCACTCAGCTAATGCTTTAATAACGTAACCTGCATGTCTGGCTCCATACAGAACGAACAGCCTCATCATGCTGCACATCTCAGAACACTAATTTACCAATAGCTAAAACGGGCAAATAGTATCCTTATCTTATCAAATACTAGTAGCTACTTTAAGATGGACTTCACTCACTGCATTTCACTCTACACATTGAGCTTTCAGACTGCTTTACTGACTCTTTTCTTGCAGGGTGGCAGCCCATTTGAGTGACAGACATCCAACTCTACAAAGTACAGTTTACGTCGAGACCCTGCTTTGCTTCAGATGAAGATCTTCAGATTTGGACTTCAGTCGAATCTTCACATGGATATGGTACCTCATGTACGAAGAACATGTACCGATTATGTGTCTTTTATGATTTATCTGAATAAATTGAGACATTTGAAGTTGGGCTGTTTTCACAAAACATAGATTTCCTTGTGATAGCTCATTCATTAGTTCAGTTCTCATGCCGATATGTTAGCTGAAATGCTCCCAGGCCATCAGTCTCTGTCACTTTAAGAAGATAAAGTCTGTCTTCGGTTTTGTTCAAGAATCAAATGTTTTGATTTGTGTGCAAAAAATAATTGAAAAAGTCAACTTATTTATTTTTATTTTATTTAGAACAACACAAATGTTTGAAGCATTGTATCTGTGTGATATAGTACATTAAAAATTAAATTATCTCAAAACAGTTGAAACATTAAATATAGGTGACGTTGTATGTTCAGCACTGGTTGTGCCTGTTAGGTCTTTTGAAACCACTTTCATTTCAAATGTTGTATTTGTATTAGAAACAATGCATTAACAGAAATACTATAAAACACTTTCTATGCATAACATGTTTTCATCTTTTTCTTTTTTGTTCTTGTATACTAGCTCACTCTCGTGATTCCTTGAGCTGTTTATCATGATGCTTTTGGTGCTTTCAATCAGTCCAAATATTTGTCTCACTAACTCCGTGGCCTAAAGAGGAGACTGTGGGTCTGGATTTGAACATTTTGCAATACAAGAGAACATGATTTCATGTAAATGAGAAAATTGATACAGAAGTGCAGCCAAATTTTTGACAAAAACTGACTCAAACCATGAGAAATCTGAGGTAAAAGTTGTCTTCATTAGAAATGGATCCCACACTACATTACTGCATAAAACAAAAAAACAGTCAGCCCATTTGGAACTATGTAAAAACAGAAAAGGTAACAATATCCAAATTAATTAACTTCATCAACTCTGCAAATGTCCAACATTGTCTCCATCATTTAGCAATATTGTACTTTTGGCCAGTATTTCATTGACTTAAAAAAGAAAGAAGTGAAACAACATCCAATGTACATACACATACAGTCTAGTGAAATCTAAAAAGGTCCCCATTGGCTTCATGAGGCAGCGTTTGTGGCCGTCAGTGAGCTGTCTTGGTCAGTCTTTAGGGTCTTCGGTAGCGAGGTGACCTCTACCATGCCGAGCCCAGTGTGAGGGACACTTGTGTTCATTATGTGTCTCTGTAAATGTTTGATCCAGTCCTCCTGGACTGAAAGGGGGCCCTGGAAGACCAGGTCACAGAACCTGTCAACAGAAGAAGGAAAGATTGATGTGACAAATTAGCAACATGTCCAAGAAATGCTACAGGAGGCCTGTATTCTTATTGGTGCCCACTGTGGGCAAAATATTTATTATGAAGTCCCATTTAATGAACTAGTAATACGTATTAGGTCATCTTTTTGAGTCTGAATCTGGGTAAGGTTGTTCCAGTCAACTTTTTCTTGGAAAGCCAGGACAACAGTTCTGACTCTTATCCAGATCAAACCTTTTGAATAACCGGGGCCTGATGATCCTCTGATTATTCCTATTATTATGTGCCATTATTAGGTTCACATTTGTTGTTTAGAGTGAAATGTCTTAATTTAAATTGGCTGCAGACATGCTCAAGTGCCACAAAAAGTTGTTATTCACAACGTTTCGACCACAGGTCTTCTTCAGGTGATCCAGTAACTCTACCTGATGTGATTATTGTTGAGGAAATTACTAAGACTTGATTCCACACAATAAGACTCAGTTAACTCAGATGGCTTACGTTGATGGAAGTTTATACATAAGAAGAATACTCATGAGGAGACATGATTCAACATCACACTTCTGTACTCGTGTCTTGCTCAATCACATCTGCTGAACTTTTCGAAAGGCATCGCATATATCCTAAAAGACATTACCATTATCAGGTTGGTGTCACATTGACCCACCTAGACTAATCTGTGACGTCGATTACACTGGAGCAGACAATAATGCCGTTTTCACATATGCACACCGGATAATATCTAGATATTTACAGGAGGACTTCTCCGGAGATTCTCCCGACCTAGCCGTTCACATGTGCTCCTCACAGTGGGGGACTTTCCCTGTCAGAGGGGAGGGCGTGCGAAGGATTTCCCGACGTAAGACGTGACGTAAATAAAGAACGCGGCAGTAGCAGCCGAAGCAACAGAGTCCGCTACACGACGTTATAATGAGAATATTTGCCTTTATATTAATGCTATGTGTCTAATGGAATGACAACATCCACAAAAGAGAGGAGAACAACATACTGACGAACAGAAAACATAATGCAGCCGTTTAATTACGTGCACAGAGATCGTAGTGGTCACGTGCAGACACTTTAGCCGGTCACTGTATATAAACGTCATTCTCTTTCCATTGGCTCAAATTGAAAATCTCCGGAGTATATTCGGCCGCGTTCAGACATCAGCTCCTCCGGATTATCTGCGGAAAATATACTAGGGGTCTGGCAGGATAAACTCCGGGTAATATCGGAGTAAAAAGTTTGGCTGTTGCGTTCACACATACAGCTCCTCCTGGAAATCTCCGGAGTTTTTCAGGAGATTTCCGTATGTGTGAAAAGGGTTTAACTCAGGAAAAACAGTTGACACTCTCTAAGCTGTACTTGGTGTTCTAATAGCAGCTGAACTCTGTCAGGAATGACTGACACTAGAGAACAGTGAATAAACATAATGACGTCTGTACATTATAATCTAAATAACTACAGAAATTCCACCACAATTATAACTAGGTCCTTTTTCACAATTGAAATGGGCTACCATGAAATGTGCTACAATCATGTCCCCCTCAGCAGGATAACTTGTACAAATGTTGGGCATCCCATAACACAGTATCATATACTCATGAGATTATTTTTATCTTATTGTCCATTGCTTCGATTTATGATCAACTCCACAATAATGACGGATCCATCGGCCCCAGCTGTACTCTGTTTGGCACGGATAAGCAAAGGCTAGCAAGCCAATGCTCTAACCTCAGACAGTGAACATCATAGCTGATAAACAGGAGATGTTAGGATCTGTACTAGTTTAGCCTGTAAAAGCCACTGACATGGGGAACAGTCTTTTTTGAGGAGAGATAAAGGCGTTTTTAGCTTTTTTTTTAAAGAAACTTACTTTTCTCGTGAAAAACAAATGCTAATTATGTCCCAATTCCTCAGACATTCATGTCAGAACAAAGTATTTTGATTTCAACACGGCAAAGTAAAGTGTGTTACTTTGGTGTTCTTTGTATACTTGCTGTACAAGTTTGTGATTTCAGCCAGTTTTAAGATGGCCTCAGCTTTTTAAAGAGTATTTTCTTTTTGTTAAATTAGGTTGTTACACATGAGTTCTACTTTTTTAAACCATTTTGGAGTTCATCATTTACAAAAAGGTATCTCAGCCTCTTAATCAGTAAATGAGAACTGAACAGAAGCAACTGGACTGTTACCACTGCTCTGTCTGTTCGACTTCACAATGTGAGAGTTCACATGCATTACTAAGCACTATTTACAAGACGTATACATGGTGGTACAAAAAAAAAAAAAAAAAAAGAAACATTACCTGCAGGTGAGCCTGTACATTTCCTCCGGAGTTTGTGGCAAGGGCAGTGACTTCTTCTTTGGGCCAGGCCTTGAGCGTTGTCTCCTTATTTTACAGTCCAATGCTTAAAAAAAGAAACATTTCTTATTCTAATATAACGGCACAGCCTTATTAGTATAAAAGGAAGAATGTGCGACGTTTTACACATCAGAAATCAAGTATACCCTGTGTAAAATCTCTCTGAGTCATGACGGTCTACACTGAGTGAGGAGTGTGAGTCCCACCAGCTGTATTGTTCTCTGGCTGTGTTTGCATCATGTTTACATGGACGGGACAACCTGTTGTATAAAACTGTTTTAGTCAAGGACTAGAGATAAGAAGAATAACAGAGCCTACTCACTGCTTATTTGGATGTTGCGTTAAGTGTCTTTAGATCACAGCGTCAATTTATGTGCAATGTGAAGCTATGAGTTAACTGCACTTTGTGACCTTTGTCTGGGAAAGGTGCTATATAAAGCCCCGTTTCCACCAAGTGGTCTGGTTCAGTTCGGTTCAGTACAGTACAGGACCCATTTATTGGCGTTTCCACCGTCAAAAGTTGGGAATGGTACCAACATAAGGGATCCGTACCGTCCTACTTTTTTGGTACCCTTCTCTTGGGGTGCCATACTGAACTAAATCTAACTGGACAGCTTGGTGGAAACTGGGCTTAAATCAACTTTACTTACCTAACCAAAGTGTGCTAACATTAGCCTGTGAAGACAACAATGCAGGCCACAGGCACTGACAATTTTGCGTGCTGCTTGCGCTTAATGGTGCTTAATTATGGTGTGTTCTAATTGATAACTCCTTCATGCGAACGTGAGTGGAGGGGGGTTGCAGGTGTGTCGCTGGAGGAAAACGGAGGCTTCAGAATAGCAGAGGTGTCACCAAAAATAAGTTTTGGTCTAATGCTGGTGCTTAAGGCTGACATCTACTGGATCAAAAAGTTGCATATTCTTCCTTCAAATGCAGTCTAAAATAATCACTAGAAGTGATTCATGATTCTCAGTAATGTCGAATAATAAAGCATTTACACAATATAATGTTAATCAGCCTGTTCAGGTGTCTTGAATTTCCCGTCTTACTTCATTGAAACTTGTTTTTTTGCATTGTGCAATTGATGTTCTTATCACTATTCGCCAATCTAGAGCAACAAAGAGGCTAGGACCAACATACAAGTGTGGTGATCTGTGCCTCCTGGAAAAGTAGCTCTTTGACTAAAAAGGTTGTTCTCCCTCTGGATGTACCCACCAAACTCCCAACACATATCTCTCCAATACCTCTCTGACCGCCTTCATGATCCTATCTTGAAGAGAACATGAATGACCACTGATACATTTCTACTCTGTGAAACTTGGTTTTCAGTTTCAGTTGCTCATTTTTTTTAACCATATATATCATGCCAAATATTCCTGACACAAGTTGAAAGGTATGCTGTGAAACTTATATTTTCCATTTGAAATAATCAAAAAAACAATTATTTGAGTGCTTTGCAATGGTTTCGTCATGTAGCTTATCCAGCAGTGTGCTCTGCTGAGCGACAGTAAACCCAATGCAGACACAAACTGTCTAAATCTGACTTACTACTTAATGCTGATTAATGAATTAAAACACTACTTGTAAAAAAAATAGATACACTAAACTGCTTCTGTGAACTTCGGAGTGGATTTCTTTTTCCATGCCTACCTAAAGCAGCAAGTTACTGCACTTACTTGTTCCGTCCTCTATGGCAGTCCTTTTTCGTTTTGCATACGCCCGAAGGTGATTAGACAAGCTAACTCCACTATGGAAAGTTGCATTGCAGTGGACACACACCTTCCTGTTGAATTCACCTTTCTCTGTAAAAAGACAAAAGCACACATTGAATAAGTGAAAACCTGAATAAGTTGCTGGTTATTTTTTAAAGGTGTCGAGTGAGGTGTAACATTTTGATCTTTCAGATTAAAAATGAATGACTTACTAAAACAAAATGATTTACATTAAAATTTGGGTCTAAGCAGTTGAAGAGGAAGGTGCAACATGTTTGAACAAGATTGTAATATTAAACTGACAATACTTAATAAATGTACCACTATAAAGAAACACTGGAGTACTATAAAATTACACAGTGGTGTTGATACTACAGGCTCAGTGCAACAATTGATTTCTTGTTCTGTCACTCTTAAGACAAAACAGCCTTCATTGGAGAAGTCACACACTCTAAGATTAAGAAGGATTTGGAATGCAGTTAAGGTAATGAATTGAGAAACAAATGATACACTTCTACATTAAAATGTGAAAAATGATCTTCTGTATTTGAAACATAATCTGAATGTACTTCCAAAATGTCATTCTACACCTTTATGCAGATGACACCTCACTTTTACAACACATCATTGCTCAGATACGTCCTTAAACAGCTGCTTTGTATACTTATAAAACTTATTTTATGATCTCTATTCCAGACACGGATCAGTGTAAAAAGATAAAGCTTGATGAGCAATATAAGACGAGTAGATTGTTGAGATGATATTGGCTAATTATAGATGTCAGTATGTTAATAATTAGCAGTTACCTTTACTGACTCAAGTGTCCAGTAAATCCTTTATTAACAGGATTTTTATCATTTAGCAAATTAAAGCCATTTTTCCATACAGTTTTTTTTTTAAATTCTTGCCAAAGTTTATGGCAATTGAGATTTTCTATAAAAAGGACTTAGTAGACTTTAACTTCTACTCTGTATACATCTGGTTACAAGGATGATGAAGTTACTTACCGGATATTGACTTTGGCAGTGAAGATGCAACTCTTGATCCTGGGCAGTGCTCACCATTTGTAGAAACTGCTAATGTGTTTCTCGACATCTGAGAGGACCCCTTAAGCCTGGCATCTTCCTGACATTTCCTCTTCTTCAAAATTCCTATCAAGGCAGTTGCCCCAGAGAGTGAATTTTTAACATCCAGTTTAGTCTCTAGCTGCCTTTTTTCAGGTTTCATTTCTGCTAAAGAAAAGGCGTGGATCTGTGATCCAGTTTCAGTGCCATCACTGGGGATAGAACTCCTTTTTGGGATTCCACTGGGCTGTTGCCTGTAACAATCAACACCGGACAGCTTTGGTGAAGCACCATATTGGAAATGGTTCCTTCTCTTTCCTAGAATTTGAAGTGCGCGTTGGAACTCCTTCTTGTCACGCATCAACTCCCGGAGTAAATATAAAGGGGATTTGTTCTTTTTTGAAAAGCTTTTACCAAGCTTTTTGAGGTGACCTCGTATGTGGTTGGACTGTCCAGTCCTGTTATCAAACGAGTCTCCACATAATGGACAGGAGTGAATACTCTTCACAGTCTCAGGCTCGGACTCCATCCTTAATGCTGTTAAAAAACAGAACATAAAAGGAAACGGAATTATGAAACTGTTAATATAACAAAGAGTACTGTCTAGACTTACTCTTTATGTAAAGTTTGTTGAGATAACAGTTTTTATGAATTGGCCCAACAAATAAAGATTGGTTGATTGAAACAGGAACATAGTCCAGTACAATTCAAATATACTGAACTTTAAAACATCAAAGTTTATTCACAGAAAAATACACTAAATCCCACTCTTTTTTTCATCTAAGCAAGTCAGTCGAGTGGTTCCATTTGGTTGGATATCAATAAACTTAGAGATCTAAAATTTTGCTTCAAAAACAACTTACAACTTATTAAGATCTCTGCAATGTCTTGATAGGTTTAATGATGGGTAACAACAAACCAATAGCCCTGACAGGCCAAAGCAACTAAAATGAAATTTGTTATAAAGCAGAGATTCTTAAGTAAAGAGCATGCAGTAAGTATGTAGGTACCTTTTTTCAATCTCCGCAATGCAGAGATCTTTCGTCGAATTCTTGGCCTTCTGTCATGAGAGGCTACCTGCTCAGGAGGCACTACATGGCGTGCGTCGTAGTTCAGTCCGACCCTATGAAGATGCCCTCGAACATGGTTGGACAATCCCACACCTGACTCAAAGATTGCTGGACAATATGGACAGTTCTTGCGTTCTGATTCCAAGTCTGATACGTCCTCTGTGAATGACTCACTCAAAGGGATTTGGTGAGTTTCAAAGTTTTCTTGAAATACTTCAATTTCTTCTTCTTCTTCTTTGATTTCAGGGCCATCTTGTTCATCTTGCTCTTCGGTCTTTATTTTCTCAAACAGCCTTTTAGACGCTTGCAGTGCACCTCTCATAGACATTCTTCTGCTATATGTATAAATGATGTTTGGTTTTTCTCTCTTGATGTCATTGTCAAAACGGTTAGGGATGGCATCCGTTTCCTGGAATTGGAAAATGTCTTTTTCATCATAGTCTGACTCCTCTTCTTCTTCTAGGTTGATTTTCTTGGGACTTGGTTTTTGTAAGATGAAGCATGAGTCTTGGTCAGAGGTGTTCCGATATGGAGTAGACATCTTCCTTTTAGACGGCGACTTCTTTACTGTTGACTGATCCTCTTTCAACGTGGGTACACTGCTGCAGTTAAGATCACTTTTAGTTGCACTTGATGGAACCCTATGGCATTTTGGAGTTAAAGCTGGTTCTTCAACCTTGACAGTCAATGTTTCTGGCAAATGATCTGAGCTATCTTTGTCAATTTTGGAATTCTGAACAGATGTGCTGCAATTGTTGCTTTCCTTCTTCTGTTCTGCAGTCTTCCTTCCATGTCTTTGTCGGGACAGGAGAACATTGATAGACTTGTCGAGCTTCGATTCTGTTATTTGGGACTTGAGACTTCTCCTTATCTTGCTATTTTTGAACAAGTCTGAAATGTCACTGGACTCACTAGGAGAAGAAGCTCTCTTAGAGACATTTGATCTTTTATCAAGATTTTAGAGGTAAACTCTGCATCTTCAACAGGAGTTTTACAAGTAGGCATGTGCTGCTCCTTAAATGGTGATGCTTTTCTCTCACTACATTGCACAGCTTCATACTCCTCGTAAGTTTGTTGATGGCGCCGCAGAAGGTGATTCTTAAAAACATTTTTGCTAAAAGCTCTATAAGAACAAACATTACAGGAGAAGAGTTGATGGTCATCATTCTCGATTTGCTTTCTAACTGTGATCACGGTGTGCTGCATTATGTTATGTCTCCTTAGATCATTCTCACTCATGGACCTGAAGCTACATTTGTCACATCTAAACTTTCTTTTGTCCTTTTCATGGGTCTTTGCATGTTGAACAAACGTGTTTGGGCAGTTTGTAACGAATGTGCACTGTGGGCAGAAAAGCTTTTTTCTATCGTCTTTCTTTTTGTCATTTATGCCTTTGAACTCTTCTGAGATTCTCTCTCTCTTTTCATGGCGGAAAGTCATGTGATCAATAAGCGAACTACTTTGTCTGAATGACTTTCCACATTCACGGCATATAAAAGGCTTTAGTGAGATATTAGAAGGGTCAACATGAGACTTCATATGACAATGCAAATGAAGCTCTTTCTTGAAAATGAGCTTACATTGTGAGCATGGGTAACACGTTTGCTTCTTCTCTAAATGACAGTTTGTTAGCCTTCTATTCAGTGGTGAAAGCCCATGACTTATACTGTTCTCGTGTGCATTTCTTGCAGGTCCATTGTAAAGAATGTCTTTGATGGCCTTTACAGTTCCATTGGGATACTTGGAAACCTTCTCTGTTGGGGACAACTGTGATTTCAGGAGCTTCCTTGACCTTTTGACTTTGCTGACAGGAATAGAGTCTTCTTGGCATTCAGCATCAGATAATTCTTCCGATGACTTGGGGCTCAGATCAGGATAAAGGTCCTCTGAGGGATCCACCATTACAACCATGTCCATTTTCCGTTTTCTTCTCCCTCGGTTAGTGACAGAAGGGACTTCATCTTTAGACTCTTCACCAGGTGAATCCCCATGACTATCCCACAGAAACTGCATAAACTCTTTGTGAGGGTCCCAATGAAGGTCACTGGCACCACTAAAATTATCCAATGAGTTCTCAGGTGAGTCTTCATCAAAACCCCAAATCCCTGCGGTGTCAATTTCCTGCACAGTTTTTAGAGGAGTGATGCTTTTTGCCTCATCTTTTTCCGTGGAGATGCTGTTGAGTTCATGGGCTTGTGTAGCCTGATGTGAAGAAGGTCCATTTCCAAGGCCAACTGAAGACAGCATATCTGTGTTTGACAGAACATCTAGGACACTGTTTTGTTTCGAAGAAGGCTTGCTGAAAGAATCGGTGCAAGTGGCTTCTTCTTGCGCCATTCTCACTGGCTCTTGCAGGAGTGTGAAGGCATTGATCTCAGGTTCTGCATCTTTGTCTTCATCATCAACACCTGTCAGGCATGACATTTCTGCTGCCATGACCTGAAAAAGAAAAGTACAGCCTTCTTTTAGATATTCTTCAATCACAAGTGTTTGTAAGCAAAATCCACCATTAACACCACATCATACCAAGGGTAAAATGACAACCTATAGGCTTTTGCACAGTAAGAAGCTGATCCAGTAGTATTGCTGTATTTGTCACTTTGGGGTGTTGTTAAGATACATAAAAGAAATCCAATCCATTTTAGGATACATGATAATATCGGCACATTTGGGATCTGAGCATAGAGGGAAGTTATTTAGTGGTTCCTTCCCAAATCAAGATTTCTGCTTTTATAACAAGCCGATCAAATCAACATTCAAAAACCACTCATAAATTCTGCTAGCCACAAAATCTGATATACACTAGCTCCAATTCAAAGTGATGTCTCATAATGTTATCTAGGTATCACAGAGATTAAGCATGGTTCTGTACAGTCCATAGGCAGTGTTGAATAACTACAGGGAGCAATTTTCGACTGGAGACTTGCCTTCACACTGCATTACGTTGTCTGATAAAAGTCCATCTAGCTAGAGTTGCACCAATTGTAAAAAAGGTTTTTGTGGAGTGTCTGGTGAATTAGCCACAGTGGCTGATAAACAAAAGCAACGTAACAGAAAAGAACTAATATTGAATCCCGGTCTTCTGACTATATGAGCAGAGCCAAGCTGTCCCACATGCTCAGAGACCAGTGCTACGCCCCCTCCTCATGTCAGAGTGGTTGTCCGTGTCTACAATGACAGGCTATTTGCTGAAATGGCTAGGTGTCACGTGAGCCCAGCACAGCATGGGCCACGGTATGTTTGCTGAGCCTTGAGCACAGGCACAGGAACGCAACGTGGACATGACATAAAATCCATCCAGACCTTGTAATAATCGAGAAATACAGGATTGTAAGAGGGCTGTATCTGACCAAAATGACTCAAAGTCAGTAAAGTTGCAAAGACAAAATCACAGTTAAGTGGCACACAGTTAAATAGTAATTATATTCTTGAAATGCCATTATGATACCGCCGTATCAGGAAGTGGGATGTTTCAGCAGTAGCAGCACAGATGCCTCTGCTGAAACTGTCTTTCCTTTATAACCTCTGTTACTACTTCCGACGAAGGTTCAAAGGGGGGATCACTTTGTCCCCCATCATACCGCCACAACATTCGGATAGAACACAAAACACCCATGGACTTGGAGTTGCTTTCCGTTGGACAGGCAAAGGTGCCGAACACCGGTGGTTAGCTTGCTGTTGGTGTGCTTAATTGTCGGCTTTCCCATTACAACAGTAACATTCTCAGGTAACTAGATATAAGTAATAACACACTTAAAGGCCCTGACACACCGAGCTGACGGCATATATCTAGTGGCGATGAAGGCCGCCTTTGGCGTCACCTCATGTCTTGGCCAAAAAAAGTGGAACTGGAATACACTGCAAAGACTTCAGCCGACGGCCAACCACCACAAACATTCTGTGCATGCATGAGAGGATATAACTCTCAATGCAAGCAGCGGAGGTCCGTTGTTATGACACGAGAAGAGCATTTTCACACCGCTGTCGCGTACCACTGGTATTATAGGTAGCCTACAAATGGAGAAAAATGTCTGATAAAAAGTTGAAAATGGCACTTGCCCTTATCAGCCCTTGGTCTTTACTGGAAAAACAAAAGAAGAGGCGGCGGTGACAATTAAAGAGAAACCGCACCAATGGGTGAAAGCATGGATATAACAGCGGCAGACTAAAGGGGCTTTCCTGAACCTGTGCCGAGAGCTGGAGTTACATGAAACCTCCAAAAGGCCAATCAGAGAGATTCCTCTCACCGACCCCCGATGCTGATTCAACATGTCGAATCGGCCAAAAAAAAAGGCCTACGGGGGCTGAGAGGTGACGAAGGAGATGGACACTACGCAAAAACTAGGGCGACGACCGCTCACTGACGGTCCAACTAGGACCGACATTCCTTGGAGTGTCAGGGCCTTATGGTGCTTTCCATTAGCCTCGGAACTGGGAACTGCGAATGACGTCACACCCGAGTTAACTGCGTTCCAGTTGCAAGTCAGAAAAGCAACATGGACACCTCCAAGACTAACTTTGTTTTGTTAGCTAATACCAGACGATAACGAACACACTCCGTCATAGTTTCTGACCGAAAATAACAAGAAAACACCTCCACAGAGAGAACTTGCATGATACCATTGGTGTGATTGACTGAATTACAAAAAAAGACAACTAAGTTGCTAATAAACACAACAGTTACAGCTTAAACATCCCTGTCGAGCAGCCATATTGGATCTTACTCCGGCTAGTGAAAATTCTCAGAGTTTCCAAGTCGGAATTCCGACTACAAGGGGCGTTCCTGATGACATATCAGACCGGCAACTCGGAAACACAGCATTAAGTCACACTAAAGTCCTGCAGTGTGCGCTTCTACTGATGGAGGCCCAGTTTGAATATTGTGTTTACAAGCTGCAACAAACATTTCTACGGACTCTACCTTTAACCAACCGGCCCAATAGTAATTAATTAGTTGCCTTTCTTAAAGGGATACTTCACCCGTTGAAACATGAATCTGTATTGACATTGGGTCATGTAATAGAAATGTGAAATACATTTTGAAGTTGGTGCCTTCTTGGCCGAGAAAAGGCAGCAAGTGTCTTTTTGGCTCATGTGGATGAAAGACACCAACTCCCAGAATGCACAGCACCGCAGGCCACTCCTACTAAGGTCCTCTATTTGCAGACATATTTATTCAACACATAAGGCCGTTTCCTCAACTGATTCTGAGATTTCTTCCAGAAAGAATTGGCATCTTGGAAATTCCTGGCAGAAAACAGACTCTATGTCTGTGTTCATAGGCAAACAGTGAGAGAGAGTCGGCAGCAGCCGTCTCGCCGCTATATTTAGATTTTTTCGCCATTATCAGCTTTCTCCATAGAGCCTGTTAGCATAGCTTCCAAGCAATATGGCGGACGTTAAGTTTTGTTTCTGGGAGTGAGGTCCCACCCACTGATCTATGATTGGTCTGTAGCTTCAGTGGTTGGAAAAATGAGGAACTAGCGTTGTAGTTTCACCACAACAGCTTCCGATGACGCAAAATGACGATTTTTGCATCATCGGAAGCTCCTTTAAGCTCAGACTTAAAAGTACAAAGATTTCCCATCTCAGGGGTAAATGAGGACGGGATGCACGACCATTCAAAAATACTACCAGGTTTCTAATGATACAAAGCTTAATGCAAATGGTTGAAGTATTCCTTTAAATTTCCACCACTGCATTCATTGTATTACGGACACATCTGTATTTATGTTGTAGCCCCAAATCAACAAAAATTAGCTACCGTTACATATTATCATTACTTTAGTAACGTAGAACCTTTCTGCAGCGAAACAAATCTGGATTTAGACAGCAAAAATTGTCCATAGTTTGCCCAAAGGTTGTGACAAACATGGCAATTACTAGAAGCTGCTACTAGTGCCTAAACAGTTTTAAAATGAAAATAGCGCTGAAATTGATTTTTCATTATAATTACTAATGGATTTCGACTAAGTAATTAATCAAGAATATAATTAGTTTGATCAAATAAATTATGGGGGAAAAAAGAACATTAGCAACCATAAAACTAATTTAAGTATGCTAGCCTTAAGATGGTTAACAATGGTAACAATGATAAATGCTTACAATGTTTAACATGTTTCACAAAATGTTAAAAGTGAAACAGTGACATAAGCCTTATTCAGGCTTTAACATGTCTAATATGGAAAAGGTAACTCATGTTTTATGGGCTAGATCTTAAAACAGGTAGTTCCTGAATGTTCCTGTTTGATATGTAAAGTTAACAGTTAGTTTCAGGGTTGGCTTCTTGGCTCAATCAGCATCAACAGTCTTAACTGAACCCAAAATATATTTCACACTTTGCTCTAATGATAAATTGAAGCCATTTATAACACTACAAGGTCGCGTCAGATAAGAGGTCCTGGATTTGAAGGGCAATAAAAGTGTCATACCAATGTGAATGCTTGTATGTCAGTGTAGGATGTTTTTAACCTCTATATAAAAACACTGAAACAGCAAAGGGATGATCTCGTTTGGTATTTGATGAGCAGTTGTAGATTTACTGTGGTGCTAAAACTTTCAGCATAGTAGTCAGTTATCTGCCAATGATCAATAGTTGAAATAGGTTTTTTAAAGATACGGACATACAGGATACATTTAATCATTAATAACCAAGTTCAGTACGTGTTTCAAAGCATTTCGTTGGCGTTTATATCACGCTGTGTTGTTGGATGCTGCTTGCAAGAGCTGCAGACCATTTCATTAAGGCTGTTCCATAGCAAAACCTATTCCTCAGGCTAAACTGTGGATAATGACAATCAACGACAGCTATATACCATATAGCCGTCAGGAAAATGATGAAAAACAAGTAAACATTACCTCCGAGCTGTGCCGATGAGGACAGGGCACAATTTAAACGCTGCATTGAATAATTTCTTACTTTCGTCTTCCATCTATTTCACAGTCGCCATTTTCCGTGGTGGTCTGGTGTGGGACAGATCATTTCTTTTGTATGGGTAAATGTACATACAGTAAGCGTTACCCGAACAAACAAGAGTGATACTCCAATAATAACGTTTTAAAATGTAACTTTACACCAAAACAACTACGATTCGACTGTTACTCGAGTCGTTGTGTCGTTTGATTTCGTCAAGCCGTGTTTAGCGTCGGCGCCATGTTCCCCCGAAAGATCTGTAATGGTTCATTCCAGATGGGAGGCATAAAAACCCTGAGTTAATGACCATCTCCTTTGGGTAGCAGATTTATTTTAGGTTGATGGCGGTTAATCACAGTATGAGTTCATAAAATAAATGAAGACTTCACTTGTTGTATTTGTGTGTGTGTAGGATTAAATTTGGTTTAGCTAAGTGAAATTGTCATAGAAGCAATGCACATGAAATAATTGTATATGCCAACAAAGGAGAGGTTGGTTGTAAGCCCTGTCTTCTCACAGGTCTTTGTTGTGTTTAAAGCAGGTGATTAGCCGCGTCATTTATTCTCAGCCAGTTTAAAAGAGGAAAAACGCATTGTATTTTAACGTTTACTAACAAAGTATAAACCAAATTTGGCAATAAACATCTGTCATGGCTGGCCTGTTTTAATTTGGATGAAAACATTAGGCCACATGACGTAGCCATAGTATTGTAAGTGTAAATGGAAAAAAATGCTAATAAAGTTTCAACTGATTGAATCTCGGTCAAAATTAATAAAATACAACGTCAGTGGGCTCCAGCTCTAAAACGCGTTTTAACATATAATGAGTAAGTCTGTTCATTATTAAAGGTGGGTAACTTACACAGAAACAAAATACATCTTAAAAATGCCTAGTACTTGATAAAACTACGTCAGAAAACTGTATGAAATAGCTTATAACAGTTTGGTAAAATACCTATATTTCAATGTTGCTACGTCATAGCACAAGCTAGCAAGGTTGTGTGACTTTTTGCCATTTATGCGTGGAAAAGAAGAAATAATAAGGTATTGAAATATTACAAAACATATTCAAATATCTTTTAAAGAGCATTTAGCTCTGTCATATCTGTGAATCTTAAATGATTGTTCATTAGGAATATTTCTAGCTAATACTATTACTGTGTCCAAATGTCTTTCATTTTCTCTTTTATCCTTTAAAACAGTTTTAAATCATACACAGTAAATATGATGTCCATACAACATTAGAGTTATGTGTTTTTCGTTATGAGGATAAGCCATAAACCATCACTAATGATAGTCTTGTTAGGCAGTGACCATTCTTTGGAAAAGATTTCAAATTTTCTGTGACAGTATCTTTCCCCTCTTATTCAATCATCTTTGTAAAGGAAGAGCTAGAAGTTTATTGATTTAGTTGTTCCTCTGGCTTGTGTTTTTCTTTAAGCCAGAAGGCCCCAACAAAGACCCACAGTTACTTTGTGAAACTGGCCCTCTTCGAGTTTAAATGTCCCAGTGCACTTGTGACCTGCTGAGATGTTGGACTCTGATGACTGCGTGTTGTCCCTGGACAATCTGTTTTTTGAGAAGCCTATTGTCCACAAAGTGTGAGTACAAAGATAAACCCTCACATATTCCCTCTCTGTACTTCCTCTCTCAGCTAAATATATTATTTCCCTTTGGACTGTATGTAACAGAAAGCCACTGCACCAGGAAGTCAGTCCATGGCAGCTCGAAGCACCTCCATCACTTTCACAATTTCCAGCGACTCAGGTTTGCAGGAGGAGGCAGAGTCTCTCTCTACTCTCTCCAGTATGTTGTGCTCTGGATGAGGGTGACTTCCTTTTCACTTGACTTGAGCAAACTGCTCAGTTTCTGGCCTATTGGAGCCCTGCTAAATTTAACTGTATGACTCACAGACACCATAGCATGAATAGGCTTTAAAGCGTTCCCAATTTTCTGTGGATTTTGTTAACAAAATTGGATGTGGGTCATATAATTTATTCTCATAATTTTGACAGATTGGTGAAATTTCTGCTATATATTTAAAAAGCACACTAAATAGCAAAAAGCTGTCCCAGTTTTGTGGGTCACGCTTATTAAATCATATATCAACATCTTAGTTTAATAAAAAAATCCTCTTGCTCTCACAGGTTTCTCACAGAAACCCCCAAAATTCCAGCCTCCCTATAAAGGATCAACTGGCATGAAGGTCTTACCATCAAAAGTAAACATTTCGTTCAGTTACACGGACAATGAGAAAGAGATTGAAAGTCAGGATGGCAGCAGAAGCACCAGCAGATGTGGCAGTCTTTGGGAAGATGAAGAGATCAGGGAATACTCTCAGGGTGCCTGTCAGAGCAGTAGAGGGGGAGATGAAACACCTAAGGACTCTGGTCATGTGGCCACCAGCTGGAGATGTTTGTCTCTGGACCCACCTCTACGGAGAAGGCAAGTGTCAATAACACATCAAGATGAGGTTTATGTATATTATTGTTTGCACATTTGTTTTCAGACTAAAGAGGTTACAATTTTAATGCTAAAAAAACCTAATAAATGTTCTCAATGGAGGAGGAGGAGGAGGAGGAGGAGGAGGATGCGCCTTGCCAAAGGCCTAAAAAGAGCCTCCAAGCCTAACAATTGTCCTCTCTCATTCTAACTAATAATTCTTTATTCCCTGCATCTCCTCTCTTTCCTCCCACAACAGCCTGTTCAAGGTTCAGCCTCTGAACAAAGGAGGTGACTCGTCAAACACACATGACCTCAGTGGAAGCAACAGCCAGACAGCATCCAGACCTCAAACTTTTCTCACTCAGGTTACCATGGCGACTGCAACTCCTCCTCCACCTCCTCCTCCTCTTCAGCCGTCACGGGCGACCATTAGCCAAGGAGCTCCTCCTTTTTTCCCCGAGTCCTCCTTTTCACCCCCTCCTTTGGGCTCATCTGCAGCGAGCGAGCGACCCCCGCGGCAGACAGCACATGCTGAGATGCAGGACAAGGGCACAAAGAGAGCCTTCGTTCTGCCCATGACACCTCAGCCACTCTGCATACAAGGTCGCTGCACAGCACAGACACAGTCACAGACAGGCGCTCTGCTCACAGCCTATGAATGGTTTACAAAATAACACTCATATAGCTTTCATACAGTGTTGATGTTAATCAGTGTGCACGTGTCTAGCCATCGCAGCAGTTGCCATAATGTGTTTGGGTGTGATGAGGTGAAATGAGGTGAGCTCCCCCCATTGACTGCTCCATTGTAATGAAACATGCCGGTCACTAGGTGGTGGATGATAAAACAGTAGATGTAGCTGTAGATGTAGCTGTCCCAAACTTTGTAACCAAGTGTATTATATAGCAATTTCTGTAGTGTTAATTTACATTTCCAACCAAATAAATAGGTAAATGTAATACATTTCTGAATATTAATGTCAAGATGGAATAAGTGTGACTGAAAGTGAAAGTGTGGTATTTTGTTCTACTTGTGCACTTTTCAGGGTCTTCTGAGTCTGGAATTCTGCGGCCAGTTTCTGAAATCCGTATCCTTTTTGTGATACATTTCAATATTTTTTTAGCAATGTGCCTTTTAGTTTCTCGGTTGATGTGGTTTGATTTTCTTAACGAAGCCTACAAAGCAGCGAAATTCAGATCAGTCTTCAGCAACTTCCCCTTTTTTAACTATGTTCAGTCCAAAGCACTGGATGATGTAAGCATAATTTATAAGCAAGTTTGTTCAAAAAGGCAGAGCATATATTATATAATAATAAATCATTTTCATTGCCATTTATGTTTGGTTTGTTCACAGGTTCTTTACACAGGTAACAACTTTGTGGTATGTGCTCCCACTGGATCTGGTAAAACGGTGCTGTTTGAGCTGGCTATAATCCGTCTGCTAATGGAGACATCAGAGCCTTGGAGAGACGTCAAAGCTGTCTATAGTGAGAATACCATTGTGTCACTAGTATGAGTACATTTGGCCGAGAGCAAGTTTCATATTCACAAAATATACAGCATTAAATCTAAAAAGATTTGTTGTTTGGCCTTGCCAGTGGCCCCCATCAAAGCTCTGTGCAGTCAATGCTTTGAGAGCTGGAAGAAGAAGTTTGGTCCTCTGGGGCTGAACTGTAAGGAGCTGACGGGTGACACAGAGATCGATGACTTCTTTGAGATTCAGGAGTCCCACATCATCTTGACAACCCCCGTGTGTAAAACAACACAAAACAAACAACATGAATGAGAATTTAATGAACATTCTAAATGTTGTATTGTGACTTTTTTATTCTCAGGAAAAATGGGACAGCATGACAAGAAAATGGAAAGACAACTGTCTGTTACAGCTGGTCAGGCTCTTTCTTATTGATGAGGTCAGTGTACGCTTGTTTTTTTTTTGTTTTTTTTTTTGTCTGTCTAGGGTGTCAGTGTGAGATGTGTGTCCGTATGTTTATCATAGTACAGTGGTAAATAACTATTGTTGGAACTGAAGGGGCTTCTTGAAGGCGACTTCAGAGCCGACACTTTGAGCCTTTATGAAGTACCTGAAGCCAACTGTAAAATTACACATTTTGTTCTTCCAGGTGCATGTGGTGAAGGATGCGACCCGAGGTGCCACTCTGGAGGTGGTGGTGAGCAGGATGAAGGCGGTACATGCCTACAGGACGGCACAGAATCCAGAGAAAGACCTGTCTATGAGGTTCGTGGCTGCATCAGCCACTATACCCAACATCTCTGATGTAAGCTGCTAACAAAAGGAAAACAGCAGTTGTTAGATAGGGCAATATGGGCAAATATTTTATAATGGTATCATACATTAATATATATGTAAATTGGAATGCTTTATTTGTGATAGAGTAAGATACAAACTTTAGAATAGGTCACCTGGTTAGAAATGTTGATGTTTGTCCTGCATCTCTAGTGAAGATCAGTAACCATTGTCATATAATGAACTTTCTGTGATTAGATAGCAGACTGGCTCTCTAATGAGAGTGGTCCAGCCACATATCTGGAAATGGATGAGAGCCATCGTCCTGTGAAGCTGAGGAGGGTGGTGCTGGGATTCCCCAGCAGCCCAAACCAAACAGAGTTCAAGTTTGACCTGTCACTCAACTACAAGATGGCCAACATCATTCAAACATACTCTGACCAGAAGCCTGCTCTTGTGGTTGGTTTGGAAATTTTGGCAAAACTATAAATTATTTTTTTTCTGCTGAGTTTAAGAGTTATTCAGGAGAGTGGAATGAGTTTACCTTTACGCTGTCATGATTACATTTCTCTGTAGTTCTGCTCTACAAGGAAAGGAGCCCAGCAGTCAGCTACAGTTCTGGCTAAGGATGCTCGCTTCATCATGAGCATTGAACACAAGCAAAGGTTTTTTTTTAATAATTATACATGCTTGTATTTTCTTACACATCTCTCAACTTTTCATCAAAACCCTTTGCTGATAAGTTCATTTTATTTCACTGAAGACTGGATCTTTGACTGTTTCTGTTTACCTTTTGATCTCTTTAGATTGATGAAATATGCAAACTCTGTTCTGGATTCAAAACTAAGAGGTGATTCCCTTTAAAAAAATAAATGTGAGGGGTAACCAGGCAGACTTTTAGACCTGCTTCACTCAAAAACCTAGAAGATGAATTTTCTTTCCACTGACTCTGACGATCTACTAACACTATTTTGTATTTTTCTGTTGTGCAGATCTGGTGATGTTAGGTGTTGGATTCCATCATGCAGGAGTTGATGTGTCTGATAGGAAGCTGATAGAAAAGGCCTTCACTCTGGGAGACCTGCCTGTCCTCTGTGAGACTTTGTCACTGTCACAGTTTTATGTGCTGTAAATGATATGTAACTGTAAGCGTGCAACATGATCCATGTTTTATGTTCTTTGTAACTCTTCAGACAGGAAAGACAAGTGTGACAGATGACATCAAATGAGAATTTCATCCGTGTCAAGTTTAAACACTGTGAGGCCTCCGCCTAAGCTTTATGTTTACATGGTTGGGTCAAAGTAGTCAGTAGATGAATATTAAATCATAGGAAGTCATATTTCAAAACAAGCAATATGAAATATTTCATGTTAATATTGAATGACATGCACTATTTTTTTTCTGTTTAAATACATTAAAGCCATTATAAGACTATAAAATGAAAATTCTAAATTTGAAGTCCAAAGAGACTTATTGCGTCTCTAAACTAAAATATTCCAGCAGCTTCATCACACCATATTGAAAAAACAGAAACTTTTCCTACATGTTGAGCGATATAAAATCAGATTTTTATTATATATGTCGTGCTCTTAATTTCTGTTTGTGGTCTAATCTGTTTCACATCCTAGTTACCACCAGGACTCTGGCCATGGGAGTGAACCTACCAGCTCATCTTGTGGTGATCAAGTCCACCATGCAGTACGTGTCGGGCTCCTGTGAGGAGTACAGCGAGGCAGACCTGCTGCAGATGATAGGAAGAGCTGGAAGACCACAAGTAATGGCAGAGACACTTAATGTTCTTGGTTTACAATCACAAAACAAGGATCTGAGTGGATCAGTTTGTCACTAGGCCCCAGCTGTTCTAAAGAAGAAATGATCAAGATTGATGCTACGGGGTAGGATCAAATCTTGAACTCAAGTTGTTTGAAAAAAGGACGAATCAATCGGATTAGACTAGGAGATACAGTATTGGATTTGATCAGGATAGATCATCCAGTTTGTGTTGTTGAAAACTGTTGAGTAGGACTGAGATAACTTGATAAAAAAAACAAAAATCTGGATTTTCCTTGTCTCAGCAGAGGTCTGGATTCAGTATAACTCTTGAGGATTAAGTTGCAGTAAAACTGTTTTACCTATTTACACATTTTGTAGTCTGGGTCACTACTGGAAACACAAAGTTTACCTCAGTAGATTTTATCTGCCAGCTGCTGCGTTATGGGCTGTGATGCTGCAATGTATTCTTTTAGGGCAGATGTGTGCAACCAGTGTAGGTGCAACAGTGTTATATCAATACTTTTAAAACGGTATCGGTGCATATGATGCTTGTTTATGAAATTGGCAGACTCAGGTTATTATTTTAACTGTCAGAGGAAAGATCTGTTCATTTTCTCCTTATTGGATGTTATGGTCAGCTTCACCTTAATAGATCAGTTTGTTTGTGTTCTTGTTCTGTTGTTCAATCCACTCTATCCCTTTAAAACACCAAGGTTAAAAAATAATTCAACAAACTGATCTGCTCGGGAGACTCAACGTGTGAATAAAGAGAAGAAGCTTCATACTCAGACATGCACGCACAAACAGCGCTGTTCTGTCTTGCTGGCTCTGAGTGTACACATTGCCACATTGCCTGTGTTAAGCCTCTGTTACTACCTCAGATACCAGCTCAGGGGCGGAACAACCTAGAACCCACCATTCTGATAAACTGACCTTCAAGCTGATGCTGCTTGTAAAAAAAGCTCATCAGCATTGCACTTTTTTAGAACGCTTTGAAATGTTTAATGTTGACAACACTTAAATGAAAACTTTTTATTCTTGTTTTATTAAATCTGTTTTAACTTTCTCCTTGTTTTTTGGCAGTTGTCCCTGCTGTAATTGCTTTTTTAAATGGCTAATTGTGTTTGCCTTTTAACAAGTTTTTTTATCTATTGTATTTATTGTCCATTAGACTTCGACTTGGTGTCTTTCATGTGATATGTTGAATCTTAGATGTTTTAATGCTGACTGCAAACAAACTGCCCTCTCACAGGGATGATGAAGACGACCTTGATCTCTGTAGGTTACACTTTGCATTCAGGGTGTAACAGGCACTAATTTGCCTCTTTGATCGGGCAGTACGTTTGCAGCTATTGATTATTGAACATGTACAGTTAATACTAATGTGCCTGAGGCTTCTTTCAAATGAGCATCGGAGTAATTACTAACCTTTAAGTACTTTTGTCTTCTTCTAGTTTGACACATCAGCGACTGCAGTGATCATGACCAAGATGCAAACCAAGGACAAATACATTAAACTCATGAATGGGATTGAAATCACTGAGAGCAGGTGTAACAGCTCAGTCACTGACATGTTGTCTTGTTTTTCTCTCTCAGTCTGCTTTATTGCTCTTTCACAGAAGAGAGATGACACAGTATTGCACAAGGTAACGGAATCCTTGTTTCCTCCAGCTTACACAGTCACCTGGTTGAGCACCTGAATGCTGAGATTGTTCTCCAAACAATCAGTGATGTCAACATGGCTCTGGACTGGATACGCTCCACCCTCCTCTACATCAGAGCCCTCAAGAACCCCACATACTACGGTCAGAGCTCAAAACACACACACACACACACACACACACAGACAGTGAATTTGATCAAAATTGGTGTCTAGCTCCTTTGTCTTTGTTATTATTTAGTATTGTGCCTCAAATCCAATTTCAGGTTTCTCGGCTGACTTGGACAGATACGGAATTGAAGCGAAATTACAAGGTGAGCCACAGCTGTTTTGCTCTATTAGGTCATTACAGTATATTAGATTCCTAGGACTTTTAATCTTTCGGGTTAGATGTGCACATTATACCAAACTGCAGACGTTTAAGATGGTCACTTTTTGTCCTGTGGTGTCGTAGAACTGTGTCTGAGGAATCTAAACTCTCTGTCCTCCCTCGGTCTGATTGACATGGACGAGGACATCAACATAAAGCCAACTGGTAGAGAGCAAATCATTTTGAGTCGTTTACACATTGTTTAATGTTCACCTCTTTTGTTTATTTGTTGACTAATGTTCAGAGGTGTAGACTTAAAACAACACCCTTTTTTTAATTTAGCCTTATACTCAAGAAATCAAACTGTTCTTAATCAACTCTTTGTTCCTTGCAGAGGGCGGTAGATTGATGGCAAGGTACTTTGTTGCCTTTGATACCATGAAACAGTTCAGCCAAGTGTCCGGCACTGAGAGCCTGTCTGACCTGGTAGGCTACCTGAGAAACATTTATTACAAAATGCAGACAAAGTGACAGAGCTGCAAGCCTGAATTCTTGCATAAGGGAATCCTTTGAATTCTCTATTATTTTGATCCTGTATACATTGCGTTGCGTTGCATAAAAAAAACATTTTGATGAAAAGTGTCTGTGTGCTCAGATTGAGTTGGTGTCAAACAGCAAAGAGTTCAGCGACATTCAGTTAAGAGTGAACGAGAAGAGGCCTTTGAATACTTTAAACAGAGACAAGAACAGAATCACGATCAGGTCAGACACATTTAAAGTTGTTCTAAAAGCATATGCAGCATCATAACTTACTTTTACATAAGATTTTATATTCATGTATTTTTACAGGTTTCCTATGGAGGGAAAGATCAAAAGCAGTGAGATGAAAGTAAACTGGTACGTTTAACATTTTTAGTTCTTTCTCTTTTTTTAAAGCATTGTTAAATAAAAAAGAAGACAATAGTGGTTCACAATTGTATTTGATGGATTTTTAATCATGTGAGCCCTATTGTGTTTGTTGTTTTATCTCCAGCTTGATTCAGGCTCAGTTGGGTTCCATTTCAATCCCAGAGTTTGGACTCGCACAGGACACAGCAAAGATCTTCAGGAATGGGATGCGCATCAGCAAATGTATGTTGGATGAATCAGTGACAACAAATGTTCTACAAACAATGTTCTATCCGACTTAAAGTTTTCACTTGATTATGATTTTATCCTTCAGGCTTGTCGGAGTTTCTTAGTCAGACACCCAAGACAGTTTTTTCTGCTCTGCTCAACTCCCTGATCCTGGCCAAATGCTTCAGAGCCAAGCTTTGGGAAAACTCGCCGTATGTCTCCAAACAGCTCGAGAAGATAGGTAGATACATTCTCAAGTCTATGCTCTCTATATGTATAGTAAAACATGGTATAGGACTTATTCCCCCAAACAGTGTGAATATAGAACTGAAAAATACATTTTAATTGTAAATGGAATAAATGTTGTATACAATTTATGAATCAAACATTATTCCCTGAGGATAAACATGCATTAAAATAAATTTCATTCACTTTGATTGTCAGGCCAGACCTTATCAACTGCCATGGTGAACGCTGGACTCACCACGTTCAGCAAAATAGAGGAATCCAATCCTAGAGAGCTTGAGCTGGTGAGTCAAAGAACAACTTATTTTTCCACACATTTTTTTTTCAATCTTATTCAAATGATTTGATTAACTATTATTTGAGCTGCATTAGAGGAAGGCAATACACAACATATAAGAGTCAGTTCTGGTCAAATCCAAATGAGCCAAATTCCAAATGTCACACAATCACATAAATAAACAGCCTGCTGCACAATGTCAACATGTGCATCGAAAATTATGGCAAAATAAACTTCCTGATTGTGAAAAAATTGATTAAAATTCTACTCTAATGTAAAAAAACGGCTGTATATTTAGATATGGAGTTTTTGATTTTTGCTCAGAGAGGGAGAGTGGCGGAGCAGGGTGCAGAGGGACACACAGTGAGAGGAGAAACAGGAGAACTGGCGGCTCCACGGAAGAAACGTATAACATTAATTAAACATAACAGAACCCCATTGCAAAAGTTTGAGTGATGTTTTAAGAAACAGAATCTGGAGATTGTGTTTAAACCTTTTAATTATTTTAAAAGCATATTGTCCAGGTACATATCAAGCCAAGTATTAGGATATGATTTCTTTTTGTACTATTTTTTTATGTATTCAGATTGTCAACAGACATCCCCCATTTGGAAACCAGATCAGAGAGTCTGTCATATGTCTCCCAAAGTATGAAGTAACTCTGGAGCAGGTAAAAGATTGATCATAACTTATTGTAAAGAAGCTATTATTTCATATTATCCATCTATCTGTCTGTCTTTAATGATGTTGCTGACTTGCTGTATTTTGCAGCTTCCTAAGTGTAGTTGTTCCACCGCTGAGATTTTGGTGAAGGTGAACCTTAAAAACCAAGCCCAGCTGCTGTCCAGGAGAACGGCTCCCGACCACCACTTTGTCTCTCTGATCATTGGCGACTCCGACAACACTGTGGTCTTCCTGCAGAAACTCACGTGGGAAACTTAACATGCTTCCACCAGTTTTGTAACCAAGACATTTGACTATAATGTATGTTTTAGAATCAGTGGTGAATTCATTTTCACCAGGCATCGTCTTGTTTCAGGGACTTGCTGATGTTGAAGTGTGGCAGCTGGTCAAAGAAGATTGAGGTGACTAAGGCCTCAAAGGGAGAGGAGATCAGTGTCAATCTCATCAGCTCAGAATATGGTAAACCATGGACGTACCTTTCATATAAAAATATAATCACAGCATTTACAGATATTCCTGCTATGTATGTTATAACTGATTATCATTCCCTCCTCTATAGTGGGCCTGGACATCCAGCAGAAGTTTAAGGTGTACTACTCCAGAGCCAGGAGTTTTGAAACTGATAATCGATACCATACATCATATGATCCTACTGGACAGAGACCACAGAACTCTGCACAGAAACCACAGCTTCCAGTTCAGGCTGTGGCTCAGAGGGAAGGTGCCACATCTTTTGCAGAACCAGGTATTACACCACAGCTTTGTCATTGATGATTTTGTTAATGCAAGAATATTGAACAGACTTAAATGTGACTTTTTCACATTTCAAATACAACAAACAACCGTCAGATTCAGGCAACAAAAGACAGTGCAACCACTTCTGCAAGAATAAAGATCTCTGTGCACATGACTGCTGTGAGTACAACCCCGTTTAAATCTCTGCTTTTCTTTCTGCGCACTTATATATCAAGTTTATTGAGATCCTTTCACAATGTTGTGGAATTATAGTTCATAGTTTTTGCCTTCCAAAGGTAAAGTGGGTGTAACTGTGGCACGGAAGAGGTCAACAAATCAAGAATCCGGTTTTTCTTCCTATTTGAACGACCTGAGAAACAGGAGTGACACCCTTGCACAGACTCCTGTCAAACGACTCAAGGTGAGGAAGAGAGCACATATGATGGAGTCTGTCCAAGCCTGCGCTGTTTAGTCTTCTTTACACTGCTGCATTCATAAGAAATGAGGTCTTAAGAGTTGTACAGACGTGAGTTGTCACGATTCAGCATTTATTTGGTTGCAAGGAGGTATGAACCTGAGGTTAGATAACACTCAACACAGTACGACATTATTCAAATCACTCTATGCAAAAATGTTCCTGGAAAAACACCTGTCTTGCCCTGACGTTGAGTCTGAGCCGATGAGTCACTGCCATGTCACAACTAGTTAAAATCAGATTACAAGACATGTCAGCCATGGAGGAACAGAGTTTCTGCATTAATAAAAATGATAGGAACAGGAAAATATGTGTTATGGATAAAATCCTATATGCATATTTTAGATGCTACACTGTATACTGTGAATTAGTATGTGCATTAGTAATATGCAGTCCATACACACAAAAGAGATTGAGTTAAGATTTGGGTTACCACGGAGAACATGCAGATTCAAAACAATATGAGTGAAAGTGCATCTTGTATAAATTTCACATACACTTATAATACTTGTGTATGGTTGTAGGTTTTTATATATGGGTGAATTAATCGTGTGAATTAGATAACTAGATAGACAATTCTATGTTTGTTTGCTTATAATAGTACAAAAGATCTGTCTTTTTGTAAACTAAGCTGAATAATTGTGTTTTGTGATTTGTTCTTCAGATGAGAATGAACAAGCAGAGTGAGTCTGTCAACATGCAGGAGTTTTCTTACAAACCCAAAGAGAGACTATCTACTGTTCCCAGGTATTCATGGACAAATGTTGAATTCAGTTTGCTTCATAAGTAAAAACGTAACAAAAGTCCATTAACAAACTGCGGTTTATAGGATTGTCAGATAGAGAGAAAATTACATTTGGATAAATAAGTTTGGCTTTAATGCCATCTGACTGTCTGATGCTAAAATATATTTATGTGTTATTCTATTTAATAAAGGTATGGAGCTAATCTATATGAAGGTTCAGTGACACCTCACGCTCAGACTGTGGACCTGACAGGAGAAGACTTCACTCAGCTGCCAGGCACAGTTTGTCTGGACGAGTTTGACAGCGGTGAGCAGATGGCCTAATGAACATTAGCTCAGCACATTACCCGACATGAGGTGTTCAACAATTACATGATCTATGATTGTATTTTTCATCTCTCTCATTTTGAGATCATCAATACTACCTGGAGGACATGAACGGGATGGAGGAACCTTCCCAAACACCTGCTACATCTTATACTCCTCATCAGAGTAACTACTCACTTTTACTGATTAGGCCCTACTGCTGGTTTAACTGTAATCTCATGTCAGTTGTTTTTCAGTGTGTACTATGTGGGTTTGACACCATAGCCATTTTTAGTTGCTCATTTTAGAACACTACAAGTATAGCATTTAACAGCACCATATAGTTCACAAGTTATGGTATATTTTCATGAAAACTAACCCAGGAGATAAACGACGGCAAGTGAAAATAACTATATTTACATTGTTTATGTATAGTGATTGTGTTTTGACCATCACATTCTAGTTTTGAGGGCCAGCTTATCTACAAATGCACAAACAGAAAGATACCCGGGAGTTTTAAATGAAATACACTGACTAAACTTCAATAAATTAGGTGTAGGAAATCAATCCTGATCAAACTCAGTCTAAGTCAGAGACAAGTTAACAAATAGCAAAGATATTTATGTTCTTATATACAGATGCATTTTTTTTACAAGATCCCAGTTCTGATAACTGTAGTTTTTTTTTATCACCTTTAAGTCACAATAACTAAAACCAGCCCTGCTTTAAATATTCTGTGTTCAGGTTCCTTAGTGTGGGGAACCCAGGAGTCAGCGTTGGACAGCCTTGTCCGAACGATAATCCTCTTCCCAACCAGAACAATAAAATAAACTCAGTTACCCAAAGAGGTCACCTGCCATGTCAGATCAGGGTGTTCACTGTGAGAACACAGCATTCTCACAAATACCCACTGTGAACTTTGATCTTGGAAGTGAATGGGACGACTGGGGTGACTTTGATGACGAGAACTTGGTGCATGCGAGCGAGACATCAATGGTCTCGAATGCTGCTACTGCCAGACCTCAAGTCCAGAAGTCTGTTGCCCTCAACACAGCAGGTAGAGTGAAGTTGTTTTTAACTTTAATTCAGGAGAGAAGGCAGGGATATCAATACATTGTAGTTACACCTAAGCAGTATTTGTTTTTTACTCATTCATTGCTCTGAGGGTATGAGGGACTTTGCCTTTACTATTGTATAAATTGATATTCTAATGTGCAGGCTTTACTGCTGCATCAGTTTTCACCCATCAGTCACAAGCCAGGCAGTGTGTAAACACCTCTGCCCGAACACCACTCAAGTAAGGCCAAAAAAATGATGCAAAAATGACCTCCAACTAAGTCCAAACAATCACGGAGGTTTCATAATTCATAACATGAAAAACTTCTCTTATCGTTCTTTTTTAAGGTCAATTTCACCGACTTTCAGTCCTGAAATCAGAAGACCAGGACCCTCACCAGCAGTCAGAACACAGAGCAGAATCACACTTGACTGGAATAAGAAGGTGTTTATGTGCTTACAGAAGTCTGTGCACATGTTGATTTTGTCATATTTTGTCTTTACATATACAAAGAGAACATGATTAGATATATATAGACTTGTTTTTGGTTTGTTAAACAGTGATCTCATGCTGTGTATGTGAGAGTCACATTACATTACTGTCCAGTTAAAATAATGTTTGACACAGTGTCCATCAGCTGTGTGGCTACATTAAATGAAGGATATCATAGGGTTTAGGTTTCTTTTCATGATTGTGAATCCTTTACAAGTTTATAAATTGCAAAATTAAAAGGTGACAGTTAACAGCTTTCTGAAATTTGTGGCGCCTGCCCTGTTTCTCTCTGCGTAGAGACAGAACATCTTCACTGAAGATATCCAACTAAAAACACAAGAAAATCTACCCCAACAAAGCAAGACCTGTGTGGCCCCTCTCACCAGGTTTGATTTCTTCTCATCAATGATTGACTCAAGCGGCACAAGCTCATCTGTCAACACAAGGTAGAAGAAAATACAATAAAACACTCAATAACATACTTTTTCCATTCCCACACCAAAAAATCATATGAAATAAATGTGTAATATTTTACACTCACATAGCTGCTTAACCCCTTCCCTCTTTTTTTTACATACATCTCAGCACTAACAGCAAAGAAGAGGAAGCGTTCATTGGAATATTTGATGGCATATTTTAGAAGGAATTGCTGTAAATGTAAAATATTTAAGCTTTGAGCTTTACATCAGATGTTCAGTGTGTTATTATATATTTATATTGAAAATGGAACAAAATGTTTCCAATGACAGTTCCCAAGTTTACTCCTGTTACTTATGCATTTATTTATTTATAAATAAAGTGTTTGTTTGTTTGGCAGTGACTCAGCTTCATGTTTATTGCTTTGATATTAAGTATTCCCAGGTTAAAACGATTAAGTAACCTGAATATTTTGAGGAGCAAAAGATGCCTTGGCCTGTCCATTTACTAAAATTGGCAAAAGGTTAGAAAGAAAACATAAAACACATTAGACAGGATTGATAACGTGTGCCATATTCAACTATAATCATTTCAGATTTTTTGAATACACTTTTTTGATTTGAGTAAGACAAGAATGTGTATCCAATCCCACTGTGGACACTGAATATGAAGAAGACTTAAAGATCACTTACAGGGAATACAAACTGGCTTTGGACAATTTACAAAATCCAGACCATAAACTGTACATAACAGTTAAATTCACAGTCGACGCTCCAGACCTACTCCTTTGTAAGGCGTGATATCGCGGGAGTTGAGCGGATGCAACGCGAGATTTCTGACGTCACTTTGAGCGCGTAGTTTTGTTGGCGGAAAAGCTTTTTCCTGAAAGTCTCATCAAATCTTCTTCTTTGTGCGCACATCGATGTGGATTAACATATACCAGTTTACAACCGATTAAAAATAATTTCACAATACTCCGGCGTGTTTATGGATGTTAAATTAGAGGTAAGTTTCTTTTTACGAGCTGTAGTTAGCTCTCCTGACAGACTGTAGCTTACATGTCTTTCTACTTCTGTGTAAGTGAGGAACAGCAGGAAGTTTAAGTAGCTGTAACTCGTCTCCTCTTCCTCTATAAATGTAACTTCATAGTTTCTGACAACTCGTGACATGACTTCATGACATAACGATAGAAGTTACTGCGTTTATAATGAAAGTGCCAAAGTTTCAGTCATTAACATTTATGACGTCTTTAAGTTTGTTAATATTGATTTATTATGTTTGTCAGATGGAGTTGTCTCCTGTAAACACTGAAGACATCAGCACAAATGGATATATTAAATCTGACAGAGGTTACAGGAGGAGCAAAATCTCAAGTATGACGTGAAGCAGAGAAACATTTGTACAGTAAATGTTCTGCTCTATATGTATTATTATGTGTAATATTTGTTCATATTTTTTAGTGTACATTTAGAATATTTTCCTGTTTTGCATTTTGATCAAATGTTTGGTTAGGAATGGACTAAAAGTTACTTTAATTAAATCCTGTAATAATTATCATGCTTGTATAGTTGCTTGTATCATTATTTGCACTACAATCAGTAACATTTATTGTAATTGTAATATAGCATTGGTTATTTAAAAGCGTGCGATGCAACTCTGATGTATATTTGTTTCTGTTTTCTTTCAGGGGATGTAGAGCTAGACATCGAGTCTGTCTACAAAGCTGTTCCTCAGCTGGCTAAGGTTTTCCACATCATGGACAAAATCGGCGAAGGTACTCATCCTGCAAAACTTTATATGTGCATATAGTTGGAGTGTTGCTGTTTAGATCTTAGTTTGTAATGTACACATTTGGTACATATTCACCTTGTTGGATTTATCCGAGCAGAAAAGGTAACGTGTTCATGATGTGTGTACTTGTGCCTCAGGAACATTCAGCTCAGTGTATTTGGGGGAGGCTCAGATGCGGGACGGGAGGAGAGAGATGTTCGCTCTGAAGCACCTCATCCCAACCAGTCATCCAACACGCATCGCTGCTGAGCTCCAGTGTCTCACTGTTGCTGGGTATGTCAAAACTTTAATGTGTTAATAAAGGGTTATTGATCTAGTGAATAGTTTTACATCACTGTTACACGGATAACGTACTGTTTGTATTCTCTATGACAAATTCAAAGGAGTGTCTTGGGAGTTTCTTGTTCACTATTTCTGTTATTATACCTGGTCAATGTTCCTTTGTAGGTTTTCACTATTCATTGTTATTTTGGCTGTTTACTCATCCAGACTTTTATGATTGAGCTGCAGTTAGAAATAAATCTTTCGTTCTTTTGCCTCTCTATGCGTTTTTCCGCCCACTTTGCAGTGGCAGAGAGAACGTAATAGGTGTGACGTACTGCTTCAGGAAGGAGGATCATGTGGTGATTGTCATGCCCTACATGGAGCATCAACCTATTATGGTAAGCACATGGTTGCACACTTAGAAACTGTCTGTAATGTAACATACATCACAAAAAATAACGTGTTAACCAACTTAAAAATGATTCCTCAGGAAATCATTGGCTCAGTGAGCTTTGAAGAGGTCCGCGTGTACATCTATCACCTGCTGAAGGCTCTGAGACACGTCCACCAGTTTGGTATCATTCACCGAGACATCAAACCAAACAATTTTCTCTACAACAGGAGCAGCAGAATGTGAGTAGTCACACTCTGCTGTAAATGAAGACATGGTGTACGGTTAAACTCCATTTGAGTTGATTTTTTTCAATTAATTTATTAATTTCTCTCTTGTGTTTTTTAGGTATGCGCTGGTGGACTTTGGCCTGGCTCAAGGCACAGCAGACACCCAGATTGATCTGCTGAAGGTGGTGAGGCAGAGGTCTTCACAAAAAGGTGGAGGGTCCACAGGGAAACAAGAAACCACACAGCGAAGCAAAGCACCAACTAGACTCCCTCCAAAAACCACCACAGCCTCAACCTCACTACCTCCACCCACAAAGCAGTCCACCACTTTGCCTCCCTCCCCCTCGTCTTCTTCCACCACCACTTCTTCCTCAGCTTCTCGGAGGGCACTGGTTAAAAAAGCACGTTCTGTCACCACCACTGTCGCTACCTCCACCTCATGCACAAAGCATACAAAGGTGTCTGCCCCCGCACTACGTCAGAAGCTAACGTCCACGTTTAGTTTTTTTTAATCTTATTTTCATTGAAAGCAGAATTCTCAAAGAGTTGCGTTAAAGTTAATGGATAACACAAGCTTCAAGTTGTGTTAGGAATGTCATTTAGGGCTCCATTTAAATATCTGCCTGTCGGAAGATTTGTTTGTTTTCTGCTTTCTTTACTGAAGTGTTAGTTTTAGCTCAATTCTTACATGCATGTTTATTTTCTTTAGAATTTGACAGCTCTACGCAAAGTGCAACGGCCTGTTTTTGGAGAGAGGAACCTGAACAGCTGCACTCCAACTCCATCCACCACTAAATATGCTGCTCTTAAGACCGAGGTGAGCAAGTGGAGAGTATGATTCAGGAAATGTGAGAGGTTTCACTTAAGATCGGCCAATAGAACTCAATATTTAAAGTTTTTTTTCCCACAAGATTTAAGATACTCATTTGTATTCAAGCAACAAAATGATTCCTTTAAAAAAATGTTTGGTGGTTAAATTTGTTTGTCCTACATATCAACCTGGCTCAAGAGGTTTCTTAGGTCAGCTCATACATTGAAGAGTTATCTACATCCCTGTTGACACAGAAACTCTCAAAACAAAGAATGTTGTGAATGAATGAACAAATGAACATTTCATATCTGTTGGCAGAGTTACTTTCCATGATGCAGACCTTTAAAGAGTGATGGGCATATAGTTCTGAACACAGTCATGGTATTTATTCATAAAACCTTTCAGCTGTTGAAGTCTGTAAAAACCGAGGACCCGGCCAACCGAAGGCTCTCTGCAGCCAGCCGGGGCCCGCTGCCCGTCAAGACCCAGAGCAGCGGTCAGAAACCTGCGAGGACTGTACAGCTAGGCCTCACCTGTAACTGTCACCTGACAGACCGGGTCTGCAACATCTGCATGTCCAGGTAAGATAAGATAATCTGTTATTGATCCCCAGTGGGGGAAAAGTTGCAGCAGTAAAAGACTAAGTAAAATAAGAATATGTAGTAATAAAATAAAGATAAAGGTATAATGTATTTACAACTATTTACTAGCTAGTATTAAGTAAACCAGACGCCAATTAAGATCCAAACTATACACTAAAAACTGTAGAGGCCATTGAGACAACACGGTGACGGGGAAACAGGAAAAAACTAAATTACAGAACAGTCATCACAAGACACTTTAAGTCAACACAGAGAGTAAAGTTCCTCATTGGGTCTGTCACTTAAGATTAGTTTCATTATTGACAAGTCTGCTCATGACTTTAAGTCCATAAAACTTTTTCTCAATAAAAGAATATTTCCATTCGAAAGATTCATTAACATTTCCTTGAGTTAAAAATCTGGATCCATCATCTGACTTGTTTGCTAAAAATAAATGTCAATGTTTTGTCATTAAAATAGTTTCTTATTTTCATTTGTATTCCTCACGTTTGATTATTTTTCTTAATGAGTTCTTTCACTTCAAACTCCTGCTTCATGTGTTTTTTCATGAGAAAGGAAGCAGCAGGTGGCCCCACGGGCCGGGACCCCGGGCTTCAGAGCACCAGAAGTCCTCACAAAGTGTCCAAACCAAGGAACAGGTTGGTATCATAAACCATGATTGCTAAAAAAAAAGTAATGAGTGACAGCTGTGCAAAGACATTAATCTCAGAACTGGACTATCTTCTTTGTTATAGTTATGAGCTGATGTTTCTGTGTTGCAGCGATTGACGTGTGGTCAGCTGGTGTAATCCTGCTCTCACTGCTCAGTGGACGTTACCCGTTCTTCAAAGCCAGCGACGACCTGATCGCCCTCACTCAGATTATGACCATACGAGGCTCCAAGGAGACCATCCAGGCTGCCAAGGCATTTGGTGTGTACCAGTATTTATTCTATATAGTCACACACTGATTCCTCTCTTTCCCTGTGGTTGAACTTACACTCACAAGCACAACAAATATGCTGAAATCATCCATCATTAGAAGAAGCTCTTACTTTCTAACAAATAAAAAGAATGCCAGGTATCCAATCTTTAGTCTGAGGAAAAATGCAGAGGGGATTCATGGAAGACTGTAATGGACAAAACATCTCATAAACCAATCGTTCCTCACAGATCTTATCTAATGCCTAAATGTCTATCTACTTAATCTAATGCCTCAAAGGTGACTGTGATGTAAAGGACTGTACTGACCTAGAACATTACAGCCGGATCACTTATAAGATCAGCTTTAAAAAGAAAATGAGGACCTTCTTTTCTTTCTGTAAAGGTTGATACATCTGTTAGAGATAAGATAATCACTCGTGTAAACTCGTGCAGTGACAGTTTTGTGTGTTTTTCATTAAAGTTGAAGTGTGTCTACTCTGTGAATGTTTAATGATTTGTTCTGTTATAACAAAGGGGATCCTATGTTAATAAAAAACCAGCAACAAAGTTATAATTGAGTTAAGGCTCTCTTGTGTGTCATCGTGAACATGTGATTTGGTTTCAGGCAAGGCGGTGGTTTGCAGTCGGGAGCTTCCTCGACAGGACCTCAGGACACTGTGTGAGACGCTGAGAGGACGAAAGCCAACGCCAGATGATGTCACACCACTTCCTGAAACAAACACAGATGCCACTGCAAGCCGTCGTCACAAGATCCAAGACGAAACACCAACACATCGTCCCACAGAGGGAATATTAAAGCAACACAAAGATGGAGCAGGAGAAACTCTTCCTTACACGCAGGAGAAGTCAGGGACTCTAGAAACTGCACACCCTCATAAACAGAGCTCACAGGCCGACTGTAAGGTCGAGAAGGATGAGCGGGGTTGGGACCGAGTCCCAGATATGGCCTACGACCTGCTGGACCAGCTGCTGGACCTGAACCCTCTAACCAGGATCACAGCTGCTCAGGCCCTGCAGCATCCGCTGTTCAAAGACCTGTGAAACCACAGACTGGCTCTGGACCAGGAGTCTCACATCGATAGAACAGACCTGAGCTACTAAAGCTTTGATTTAGGTTGAAAAAAGCTGGCCGGGTCAAAGACAAATGGGTTTTATACTTAGACTAAAAAGTTTGTAAAAAATACCTCTGCTGTCTTTTACAACATCTTTAGGAAGAGTGGAGAGAGGTTGCACTTCTGTGAGGAGACATCTCTTAAATAACAAAATAAAGATTTGACATGTCGATCAGCCCTCCCTGCTAAACGCTACACATTAATAATATCATAATATCAGTTTCCATCAAAGACAGGTTGGACTTGTGGGTTCACAGGTCTGAGTGTATGATTAAAACCTGTTTTTCAAGGCAGCTGTTCAACATTTATTTTAGATCAGGCATTTGATGGGACTGTAAATGTGCATTGTTACTGGTATTACCAAGACAGGAGACAATTGGCTGTTGTGTAAGTGGTAAGAAGTATCCTTCAACCACCAATGTACCTGATGCAGATACTCCAGGTTAAGTTTTTTCCCCAAAGGAACAAACAACCTCGTATTTAACTTTTTTAAATGAAATATCAAATATTTTTTTAGTCATAACTTTAACTTTTCAAGAGTTATTACCCTGAGTGTTTTTACATTTGTCACAGAACACTGTGACTGCCCAATTCAGACGATGTACATAAAGTAAGAAAGAGCTTTTATTTTGAAGGTCTGAAAAATTTGT